TGCAGGCCGAGCTGGGGGGGCTCGGAGCGGCAGCTCTGGGTGGTGGGGGGCCCGGTTCTTATGTCCAGCTTGGGGTGGGCTGCGTGGCTCCTCCTGCATCTGCTTCTTCCAATCTCATTTCCCTCATTTGGGGCACGCTGCTCCCCAAAGCACAGGGGGACCGGCCTGCTTCCGCCAGTGGCTCAGTTTTAGAGGCGCGTGCACTGGTGACCAAGTGTCCCAGAACCACAGGCTGTCGACAGTGGTCCAGCCAACCTCCCCTCCCCGTTTCACCCAAGAGGAAAGCGAGGGCTGGGCGGGGGACGGGCTCTCCCGCAGCAAGCCCCACGGGGCCCCCTGGGCCTGACCCGGGGCCGAAACCTGCCCCGGGAGGCCTCGGTGACCCTCTCTGCACTCTAGGCCTGCAGGCCGACGTCTGCCTGAGGTGGGCGCAGTGCAGTAAGCAGTCCTACTCCTCCGGGGGATCGGAGAACAGCGGGGACCTCCCCAAAGTGACACAACATTCAGCCCTTCAACCTTCTCTGCTCTGTCTCTGCCCGGGGAGGACGCCCCACACCGTGACTGCCCTAAGAATGACCGCTGTCTTCACTCAGCAGACACCAAGCCACCGACCCCTCCCCCACTGCTAGATACACTAGATACATGCACACCCCTTCACTGCCCCCAGCCCCCTGCCCTGGGCCTGCTCTGCCATGAGCTGGCACAGGGGCCCCCGAGCCAGCCCAGTGGCCCTGCAGGGGAGGTGAGGGAAGAGGCCACACAGAAGACTGCATCACAGGCCTGGGGGCAGACATCCCTACAGGTGCCAAGAACAGGGTGGGGAGAGGGGCAGCCGACCCCTCCAGAGGTCGGGAAAGGGCGGGAAGTGAGAGGTGAGGCTCCCCATGAAGAGCCCCCCACTCCCCAGGAGACTCACACAGCCGGGGGCACAGCTGCGAGCGGGCCCAGGTCACAAAGGGTCTTGCACTCTGACTTGGCTGCCTCGAGGAGTCTTTCAGGGCGTGAGCGGCAGACGTGGTCAGGGGTGGCAGCCACTGGGATGCAGTGCAGCCCAGGCGGGACCCGAGGCGGGGGTGAGGGATGGCCCGGGGCGGGGGCGGGGAAGGGTTGACCCCCGCCCAGGCCTGGCCAGGCTGAGTGGCAGGTCCCTGGTGGGGAGATCATGTCCAATGGCCAAGGGCAGTCGGCACTGGGGGCTGGGGACCCAGCGAGGGTCTGGGCTGGTCCGGGAAGGGGCTGGACGGGACGTGGGGGCAGCACAAACCGTCACCTGCCACTACCATCTGCCCTGGGAGCACTCGGCCCCAGCAATTCAGAAAGTCCTCCGTGAGTTTGGTAAACATCTGTCTGCCACCTGCCTATCCACGCATGTCTTCAGGCTGGCCCTCGGGGGTCAGGCAGGAACCTCTAAGAAACCGCCTCCCGTGTTGGAGGCCCAAAGAAATCCTCCGCTTGCAGAAAGTTCCGTACAGATGAAGAGGCTTATGGTAAGCTGTTTATAGAAGTGAAAAACTGGATCCAAACTAAGTTTCCCATAAGACAAGACCAATTAAGTAAATTATGGCACATCCACTCAACCACCCTGCAGTCATTTAAATAATGCTTCGAGTCTGAACAACATGGAAAATGTTTTAGGAATTTTAAGTGAGAAAGCATGATGAAGAAACTTTATGTGTAGAATGTCAGGTATCTGTTAAGGGCCTTTAAAAAGCTTGGAAATGGAGACTTTGCAGTTAATAGTGTCAGTCCAGTTGAGCTCAGTCGCTCAGTCGGGTCCGACTCTTTGCGACCCCATGGCCTGCAGCACGCCAGGCCGCCCTGTCCACCACCAGCTCCCGGAGCCCGCTCACACTCACGGCCACTGAGCCGGTGACGCCACGTGCCTCTGTGTAACTGGAACTATGAGTGATTTTTTTTTTCCATTCTCTTATATTTTCCAGTTTCTATATTGTGCATGTAACATTTTTTAATTGGAAAAAAAAGTTTTGTTTGGGGGTTTCTGAGGCTGTTTTTTGTTGTTGTTTTTAACAAGTGTCCCACCCGGGGCTCCTCTTCAGCGGCCTGGTGGCTTGGCTGGTACCGAGGCAGACGTAAATAAGGAATCAGTGCCTCAAGGCGGGGGTGCGCCGCCTGAGAGGCCTCGGGGCAGGGGCAGAGCAGGCACTCCCGCCCCGGGCAGGGGACGGCGGTGGGTGCCAACACAGCTGACCGCCCTCTGGCTCTGCCAAGCATCTGCAGCCCTGAGCCTCAGTCTCCTTAGAGAGTGAAGGCCCGCATCTTCGGAGTTCTCTGAGAGGATGCAGCGTCCCGACCTTGACAGAGGACCCACCGGCGGCCGCCCAGGGCCACTCCAGCTCCAGAAACGGTGGAGGCCGGAACCCACAGGCCTTAAAAATAGGTGCAGGAACCGAGAGAGGCCCCCTGCCATTCCAACGGCCACACTTCCTCCCTACACACTCAGCCAGCCCTGGCGCTGGGGGGGCCCCAGGGACCCCCGGGAAACCAGCCACAGCCACGGCAAAGCCATCAACTGCGGAGCTCAGGCCCCGCCCCCACTCCACAGCCAGAGGTCTGTGCCACCGAGCGCCAGCCCATGCCGGGGCAGCGTGGAGCCCAGTCTTGCCGCAGCTCCTAGGGGCCCCATGCCGCCCGTCCTTTCCCAGACGATTCCCTCGACCCTCCAGACCCTGCCATCCCCACTTCACGGATGAGGACACAGAGGCTCCAAGGGGTGGCAGGCGCAGGCCCCACGGTCTTCCCCTCCAGCCACGCCTCCCACGGACATCCCCTGCCTGACACGACAGCACCGGCCAGACAGAGGCCCAGCGGAGCGTGCAAGGACCTCCCGACGGGGCGGTGGTGGGTGCAGGTGTCTGGCGCAGAGGCGAGACCTGCAGGAAGGCAACTGCTCCCTGAGTCCTGACGGCCCCATGCCACCAACTCTCTGCAGGATGGCTCCTGGCGCCTGACTGGCCTCGGCTGGAACCCCGAGAACCCCAGCTCTGCTAGCTCCCAGCTGCGTGACCCTGGGGGAGTCACTTTCCTCTCTGAAGCCCGATTTCCTCCTCTGTCAAGTGGCGTGACAGCAGAAGCTGCCTCCACAGGAGACAGAAGTGAAGGCCCAGTGGGGCCGGCACATGGCAGACGGGCTGAGTCCCCACCCCCAGGACTGACAGCTTCTCTAAGTGCCGGCTGGTCCTCAAGTCAAACACCCACAGAGTGGCCTGAGGCCAGCCCCGGGAACACCTGAATCCCAGCCAGGCATCCGGGATCCCCAATCGCTGCTCCGGCCTCAACTCCCGCGGCCGCCCTTCAAGCCTTCCCACTCCGGCCTGGCAAGTCCTGCCCGCCTCAGGCCCCTCTCTCAGAGGCCCCGCCCCACCCCGCCCCCATCAGCGGAGGGGGGTACCTTCTTTGTGACCCTCACCACCTCTCCCACCTCGACCTGGGCCCGCCCCCAGGCCACCAGGCAGCAGGCAGCTGCCTACCTCGGGTCACGTGCACCTGAGGACAGGTGTGGGCCTTCACCTCCGCTAAGGGCTGGGGTTCAGGCAGATTCTTTTGCCGCTTACTGACCACGGGACTGGGGCACGTTACTTTACCTCTCTGCACCTGTGTTTCTCCACCAGGACAAACAGGAGTTTGATAATCCCCACTGCAGATGGTGACGGCAGGGATGAAATTAAAAGATGCTTCCTCCTTGGAAGGAAAGTTATGACCAACCTAGATAGCATATTAAAAAGCAGAGACATTACTTTGCCAACAAAGGTCTGACTGGTCAAGGCTATGGTTTTTCCAGTGGTCATGTATGGATGTGAGAGTTGGACTGTGAAGAAAGCTGAGTGCCAAAGAATTGATGCTTTTGAACTATGGTGTTGGAGAAGACTCTTGAGAGTTCCTTGGCCTGCAAGGAGATCCAATCAGTCCATCCTAAAGGAGATAAGTCCTGGGTGTTCATTGGAAGGGCTGATGCTGAAGCTGAAACTCCAATACTTTGGCCACCTCATGCAAAGAGTTGACTTTGGAAAAGACCCTGAAGCTGGGAGGGATTGGGGGCAGGAGGAGAAGGGGATGACAGAGGATGAGATGGCTGGATGGCATCACCGACTCGATGGGCATGAGTTTGAGTAAACTCCGGGAGTTGGTGATGGACAGGGAGGCCTGGCGTGCTGAGATTCATGGGGTTGCAAAGAGTCGGACACGACTGAGCAACTGAACTGAACTGAACTGAACCTTAAGAGAATTATATTGAGGATAAAAGGACATGGTGAAAGGGAAAGACTCCATTTGGTCGCGCAGCACTCCAGAGAAAGAGAAAACTCCCTAGGCCACCTAAACTGCGCTGAGAGCCCAGGAACAAGCAGCTCCAAAATGCTCAGCCCTGGGAACTTCCTGGTGGTCCAGGGGTTAGGACTCTGCACTTTCACTGCCGAGGGTGCGGGTTCAACTCCTGGCTGGGGAATTAAGATCCCATAGGCTGGCTTCGGCCATTAAAAAAAAAGCCAATAAAATAAAATAGATTAAAAAAATAAAAGCTAATACTCAGCCTAGGCAGGGCACCGAAAAAAAGCAGCGTGAGGAGGCCCCTCCCCTCACAGCACCCCTCCACAACTCACATCCAGGTTGTGTCCGGATGACTTGACCACACGCCAGTGGCATGATGCCCATGTTAAAGGGAGCCTGTCCACACAGCATGTGTGGGCTGACGTCCAGGGCCCATTAGAAAGCCCAAGCCCCAAGAGGAAGCATCAGGCTATCTCCACCTTTGGTCCAGATGTCAGCATCACACAACATCTGGGCACTGGACCACCTCACTCTTCCCAGCTCAGAGATTCTTGGTCCCTGCACAAGCTACCCTGGCCGCCAGCTTGGCTCACCTGTTCCCTGGAAGCACAGGCAGTTTCCTGCAGATAAAAGACCAAAGCCCCACTCAGAGTGACCAGAGGCCTGGCTGATTCCACAGAGTTCACCTGAGTACCTGGCTCTCTTTCCCCACTCACCTGTCCCCTGCCCCATGTGGGAGGGATCCAAGCTGATCCCCCCATCCGGCACAGAGCGAGTGTTCAGAAAAATGCTTCCGCTGCAGAGGATACAGTGGACAAGATTCAGAAATCAGGTTTGGGTCTCCAAGGTGCCTTTCATCATAGCAGCCAAGCAATGATGTGAAGAGTGACCAGGGCGGGGCTGGGGGAAGGGAGAGTAGTCAATTTCTCCCATCTCATAAACAGACACTGACTCAGAAACAATAACACCTCATCCAGGTTCAAGGGTCTCCCCCAGAGGCTCCTGCATACCTTCAAAGCAACCTCAGAGGGCATGGCACAGTTCTGAACAGCCTATGCGCTGAGTCAACAACAATCTGGGAGATTTAAGTTAATTCGTAACTCTAACAGGTTGTCCCAGCTGCAAAGTGGAGATAAGAGGATGATGTGAGCAACTGGATGAACAAAGTGCTTTGGGGAGGGCGTTCTGGGCTCATGCCCAGGTGCTCAGGCCAGTCGTTCCATCCTAGCTCTGCCTGGGCATGAAGTCACTGTTTAGCTTGCCCCTCTCTGAACATCACATCTCTCATCTGAAAACTGCAAGAGATGGGCAACATGAGCCCTTCTACAAGTTGAAGATCCTAACTTCCTTGCCACCCACGCCCTTCACTCCCCAGTCCAGAAAGTAATCCTTTCCTTCATTTGCTGAATGAGCATTGGGCACCTGCTCTGCACATGCTGCGTGCTGGGCACTGGGGGTGGGGGGGGTACCCAGATGCGGGCAAGGCCCTGGAGGGGTCACCTCCTAACTGAGGAGACAGCATCACAGAGCCACAGCAGTCCGATGACCCACTGGACATGAGCCTGGTACAAAGAGCGTCCAGGCAGCAGGACGGGGCAGAGGAAGGGTCCCTGGGTGGCGGCATCAGGGCTGAGGACCAAAGCCAGACCTGTAGCTGTCTATAGAGCCGGTGAGTGTGCGCGGCAGGTGGCCCCGGGAGCAGAAAACAGCAGAGATAAAAGCGCAGAGCACCGGAGCACAGGGGCTGAGTTCTGAGGGGCTGCGGGTGGTAGGATGGGGAGACCTCTTGTGTGAAGGGGAATCAGAGGTGAGAAGGAGGGACGCAGCAACAGGGTGGCCATCAGCCAGTGCCCCTGGCCTAGCGCACGCAGTTCTCCCCAGATGCAGCACAACGGCAGGTGCAACGAGGCCTGGGTGGGATTATCCGGTGGGGGGGGGGGGGCACCAGGGTCACCCTGACCACGGTCAACCCCAGCTGTAAGACTTCCTCGCAGGCTGTCCCTGGGCTTGTCCCTTGCCTCTCAGGACCTCAGGCTCCCCGTCGGTCAGAGATCACACTCCTCTCGGGCAAAGTCAGGATCAGATGGAGGGCGCCTGCACAAAGCGCCTGGCACATACTGAGTGCTCAGTGAACGCTAGGTGCCAGGGCAAACGATTACTGTTCTTATGGGGCGGCGCTGCAGGCCCTTTGGGGCAGGGACCGTCTGACAGGGCAGAGGACGCTCAGAGGACGTAGGAACGGGCGGCAGGGGAGTGGGGAGGGGTGCAGGAGCGGCTGAGCAAACAGGGCGGAGGGGCCTGGAGCAGATGGGCGCTCAGACCCCTTCCATTTCACTCTGTGCCAGGTGACAAGCAGCCTGCCAGGCGGGCATGCAGCCCGGCACAGAGTAGGTGCTCAACGAATGTTTGCTGAATGGAGGAATGAGGATCCTTCCCTTTCTACTCAGAACTCATTAGTGACACCTTTTCAGAAGAGACCACAGAAACCTATGTCTTCATCCAGCTCTGCCTGGTAGATACCCTCACCCTCACCCCCACCTGTGAGCAAAGCTTCATTCCAGGGTAGCCTGCCTTCCACAAAAAGGAGGATGCAAATTGATCCCCGCCTTCATCCCGGCCTCCAGGGCGTGGCCTGATGAGGGGGTCTGGAAGCCTTGTGACCTCAGGTGGGTTAGGAGTGGGGGATATATCGGCTTTTTGGGACCCAGTTTCCCCAACGGTGAATGAAGGCGGAGCTGTAGAATCTCCAAGGTGGACAGTCCCTTCTCCAAAAGCTGCCGTGGCCCCCTCAGAAATCCCCAGCCTAGACTGGGGAGGAGGGGTGGGTGACAACGTGGTAATGAAGTCATTCCCGCAGGAGGAAGGGAGGGGTCTTCGCAGAGAGAAAACCGCAAAACCCACCCAATGGGGTGGGGTGGGGGGCTCCTCGCGCTTCGTCCGAACACGATCCACCAGGAGCCATTACCTCACACCCAGCCGCGCCGGGAGACCCCACCCCTGCCTGCAGCCCCCCACCCCCGGCTCCCTGTAGACAATACGGGACACACCTGCCCCCACTCACCTGCCGATCTAGGACTCGGGGCCTCCGCAGAGCAGAGTCACAGTCCGAGGGGCGACCGCACCCTCCCTCTGCCCAGGGGTGGGTTCGGGGCCCACAGTCCAACAGGTCCCCAGTCACAGCGAAGGCGCAGAGCCGCGCGGGGAGACAAAGGCTTCGGGCGCCGGGGACCAGCCCTGTCCACACTGCCGGCCGCGGCATGGAAGCTCCGGGGAGGGTTTTGGGCGCCGGGGACCTGCCCTGTCTACACTGCCGGCCGCTGCACGGAGGCCCCGGGAAGGGCTTCGGGCGCCGGGGACCAGCCCTGTCTACACTGCCGGCCGCCGCACGGAGGCCCCGGGGAGGGCTTCGGGCGCCGGGGACCTGCCCTGTCTACACTGTCGGCCGCCGCACGGAGGCCCCGGGGAGGGCTTCTCGCGCCCTGGCCCTTCCCTGTCCACACTGCCTGCCGCGGCACGGAAGTCCTGGGAAGGGCTTGGGCGCCGGGGACCTGCCCTGTCTACACTGCCGGCCGCCGCTCGGAGGCCCCGGAGACGGCTTCTCGGAGACGGAAGGGGCCCGGTGGAGCCACGGAGAGGAGAGGGAGGGAAAAGACGGGCCGACCCCCGGATGGGCGGCCAGAGGGGGACAGACACGCAGGCACGCGAGCGTGCCGGACCGCTCCAGGGGCCAGGATCAGAGACGAAGACGCGGGGGCGCGGGAACGACCAGGACGCGAGGACCTGGGCACGACACGCAGCGGGCCCCCCCGAGACGCACGCGGGGACAGACGCGCAGAGACTCAGAGACAAGCGCAGAGACGGAGACGCGCGCGGACACTCCGGCGCCGCCGCGGCCCCGGCCTCGCCCCCGCCCGGCCCCACTCACCGAGGCCGCAGACCTCGCGGCGCAGGCTGACGCGGCCGCGCTCCTCGGCTATGGCGCGCAGCATGTGCTGCAGCGAGCGCTCTTCGGCCTCCGCGCCGCCCGCAGGCTCGGGGGAAACGGCGACGGCGGCAGGGAGGGCGGGCGGCCCGGCCCGGAGCCCCGCGGGCGCGGGCACCGCGGCGCAGGCCCGGCCCGGCGGCCNGGGCTCCAAAATCACTGCAGATGGTGACTGCAGCCATGAAATTAAAAGACACTTGCTCCATGGAAGAAAAGCTATGACCAACCTAGACAGCATATTAAAAAGCAAAAAACATTACTTTGCCAACAAAGGTCTATCTAATCAAAGCTATGGTTTTTCCAGTAGTCATGTATGGATGTGAGAGTTGGACCATAAAGAAAGCTGAGTGCCAAAGAATTCATGCTTTTGAACTGTGGTGTTACAGAAAACTGTTGAGAGTCCCTTAGACTGCAAGGAAATCCAACCAGTCCATCCTAGAGGAGATCAGTCCTGTGTGTTCACTGGAAGGACTGATGCTGAAGCTGAAGCTCCAATACTTTGGCCACCTGATGCGAAGAGCTGACTCATTTGAAAAGACCCTGATGCTGGGAAAGATTGAAGGCCGGAGGAGAGGGGACGACAGAGGATGAGATGGTTGGATGGCATCACCGACTCAATGGACATGAGTTTGGGTAAACTCCAGGAGTTGGTGAAGGATAGGGACTGGCGTACTGCAGTCCATGGGGTCACAAAGAGTCGGACATGAGTGAGCGACCGAACTGAACTGAACTGAGGGAGTTGGGGGGGCAGGGAGTTGAGATCAGCTGGACATGTGATCCTGATAAAGGCCAAGGTCCAGTGGGCATCCATCCCTATGCTGGCCTACACTGAGAGAGGAAGATCTGGGAGGGAAGCAGCTAGAGGCCCTTCCCTCACCTCACCCCTGGTGACCCATTTCTACGGAGCAGGGAGATGGACATGGAGAGGGAGAAACTCACTCACTAAATCCCACTCACTACATCTCCAAGGACGTACCCCTGCCATCACACCAGCCTCTGTCCACACACCCATCAAGGTTCTCCCCCACCCTTGCAACTCAAGCTTCTTCATCTTTTTTGGGTCCCAGTGTCACCTCCTCAAAGAGCCTCCCAACCACCTAACTTCAAAGACCACCTTCCCTCCCCTCAAGCTCTTTATCCTGTTTGGATTTTTTCTTATTTATTTATTTGGCTTCCCCAGGTCTTAGCTGCGGCATGTGGGATCTTCAGTCTTTGTTGCAGCTTGCGGTATCTTTCGTTGGGGCATTCGAACTCTTAGTTGCGGCATGTGGGATCTAGTTCCCTGACCAGGGATCGAACCCAGGTCCCCTGCATTGGGAGCTGAGAGTCTCAGCCACTAGACCACCGGGGTGGTCTTTATTTTTCTTCACACACATCACTTATCTCTGCTGACACTACCTTATAGAGCTCTCTGTTCTGTTTATTGTCTGATGTCCCCGCTGAGGGAGGGGCCTGTCTTCTGCACCATTGTATCCCTGTGCCTGGCACGTGGCCCACCACGAAGTAGATGCCCAGTGAATTGAGCACATGAAGAGTGATTGAGAAGCCTGGTGGGAAGCCGCAGGTGGAGGAGGCAGTGAGGGACCGCGGGGTGTGGGAACAGCACTGGAGAAAGTGGATGGTCTGGATCCTGCTTCAGGCCTCACAGCTGATTTGTGCCACCCTGAGCACCTCGTGGCAGGGTGGGGGGTCTGACCCCTGTGTGCCCGCGCCAGGCATGAGGAGGGTGGGGTTCAGGAGGCTCTGTAGAGGCGTGTGGAGGAAGAGAATTGATGAAGCCAGTGATCTGCAGTGTGTGTGTGTGTGTGTGTGTGTGTGTGTGTGTGTGTGTGT